ACACCTACCTCCCAGCTCAGACCTGTCCCCACTGCCAGGTCAGCTCCCCACTTGCTAGTCTCCGAGACTTACCCAGCACAGAGAAGGCAGGGGTGAGAGGCCAGCTGTCCCCACCATCCTGGGGCAGTTCTTGCTCCAGTGGCCCCCCACCCTCCTAACTCCAGAGCCCTCTAAATCAAGGGACACCACCAGAGCTGCCCTTTGGTCCAGCTCAAGGAAGATTAACCCTTTCCCTACCTTGCCCCAGCACTCCAGGCCTGCCCCTCTTGAGTGGCTCCTAAACCAACCTCACCCAAGCTATTTGCCCTTCTAGGAGTCAGGTCCTATATCACCCTCTTCCCAAGGGCACAAGAGACCCAGGGGAGCCCTCCACCCAACTGGAGGACCCTTCACCCAGTCCTGGTCCTGCCTCCCCCTGGGTCCACCTACCTTGTAGCACTTCCCAAGCGGACTGGCACTGTCCTGGGCTGGCTGCTTGCCTGTGTCAGGTGCCCTGGGCTCTGCCAACCACCAGCTCCCGACTCAGGGTGTCCTCCCTCACCCATTCCTGCAGCTTCTACCTGAAGCAGTAGCTGCCTTCTCTCTGTGCCAGTTGAACACCATGGGCTCCCAGCACCCAGCCAGCATCCACGCCTGGGGACTCCCTCATGGCAAGTGACAAAGGGAGACCGGAGGACAGGGGGCCAAAGGAGGGCAGAGGGCTGAAGGAGGACAGGGGACTGGAGGAGGGCAGGGGACTGGAGGAGGGCAGGGGACTGGAGGACGGCAGGGGCCTAGAGAAGGGCAGAGGACTGGAGGGAGGCAGGGGGCTGGAGGACGGCAGGGGGCTGGAGGAGGGCAGGGGCAGGGACGCGGACAGGGCTTCAGACAGACTGAATTGGGAGGGCAAGAAAGAGACCAAGGGTGCAAAGTGAGACGCAGGGAACAGAGAAGGGAAGGAATGAGGGAAAGACAGGGACGGGAGACAGGGACGTGATACAGGAGACAGAGATGGGGGCTGCAGCCTCTGCATGAGGGATATAGGAACAGAGGAGAGGGCAGACGGGCTGGGGCATCCCTTGTGCTGGTTTTTAGATGCGGTTCTTGGGGTCTGTGAAAACAGCCGTCCTCCCAGGCCCCTGCTCCTTTGCCCCAGTACTAGCCCCTGGAGCAGCCCAGCCTGCAGAAACGAGGACTCCGCATGGAAAGATCCCAGCGTTAACAAGGCAGAGTACAGCCGCGGGGCGGGTAGGGGGGCCAGCCCACCTGGGAATCCCGCCTGGCCCATTACTGGGCACAGGATCTCACTGGTGGTCTCACATCCATCCTTTTGGGAATGGGACCAGGACTGAGGGGTCGGCACTGGTGACCAGCACTCACGGGGACCGCTCAGTTCACTGAGGTGGAGAGAGGAAGGAGAAGCGTGGTGGGAACCTCGCCCTCTCATCCCCACTCTGGAGCGCCGCCTCACAGCCCAACCAAACAACACGGAAGAAACAACCACAGGAACAGCAGCTGCGGAGCTCCACTGCCTCCCTCTGCCCCCTGGTGGCGAGAAGGAAGAAAAGCAGGAGCAAGTGCTGAAAACGAAAAGGAAACTAGCAGCAGTCCCCATTAACCACAATGGATCAGCCCTCATTTGGCCAACAGGTGACTCTACCCCAGGCTGGCCTGAGAGGACCCATTTCCCATCTCACCATTCTGCCCCAGTGCCCTGGATCCTGCCTCTACCACTTCTTCCCTGCAGCGTCTTCGGTTCCCCCACCGCTGTGAGCCAGGTTCCCCCTCCAGGCTGCTGGGCTGAGACTGAGTCACTTCTTCCCAGGCTGTAAATCCTGGGACAGCTCTGCAAGGCACCGTCACTAGGGACGGACTCAGGCAGCAGAGCCGCGCTCTCGTACCCCAGCCAGCCAGGCTCTCCTGGGTGAGTAGCAGGGGGACCCTGGAATTTACAGGGACAGAAGGGGAGTGATACCAGGAGCCAAGGAAGATAAATTTCACACAGGATCTGGGCTGGAAGAGGCTGCCGAGACCATCAGTCCAACCCTTGGTCTACAGGTGGGGAAACTGAGGCTCAAGGAAGGTGAGTGATTTGCCCGAGATCACACAGTGAGTGCGTAGCCAGGCCAGGATGGAGACCCAGGTCTCTGGACTTCTGACCCCATCCTCCCTAAATCCCATGTCCCACCCACCTCCCTCATTTACCTCCGTTTCCCTCTCCCCTCTCCTCCACTGTGTCCCACTGCTGCACCACTGCCACCCACCCCAAACCCCAGCAGCCGCAGCCTGGGAGGCAGGACACCTGGGTTTTCCACTCCATACCTGGTCTTGACTAGGATTTCAGAATAAGGCCACCAGCTGTCGGGGCCACAATGTCCCTCTCTGGGCCCCAGGACCCATCGGGAGGAGAAGAGGATGAGATCCCCCTGGAGAGAAAGGCAGTATTAAAACCAGGCGCCCTGCTCCGCACATACACGCAGCATCTGCTCAGCCGCAGCCCTGGGGCCACGCTTTACTTCTGCACCCTCTCCTCAAAGAACACACATTTTCCACTCAGCTGGGGCCCAGGAAACAATGAGTGGGTGTCTCGAGGAGGACGAGTACCTGGGCAAGGCTGGGGGCCCTCCATGGGGAAGGAGGGGACACCCCCAGCCTAGTGTCTACATAGCATGAGCGTTCATGGGGTCACTTACACCAAGTCAGGACCCACAGCATAGGCCCTATGGGCACACAGACCTGAGTTCAAATCCTGGGTACCTCTGTGATGTTGAGTAAAAGACTTACCCTCTCCAATTCCCTGTTTGTCCTGGTCTGAAATGGAGTTAATAACCTCCAGGATGATGTGGGGATTGAATGGGGAAAGGGCATCAAGTGTTAGTACAGTGTCACCCAGGGACTGCTCAATCGGTGGAGACCACACCATCATCTTCACACGCTGGCCTACAAGACAGTGCTGGGATTTTCCCCCCACTAGGTAACTTGCTGTGTCA